ATCATTGCATTAAGGGAGTAATCCAATAGGCTCTAATAACACTGTCTTGCTTTTGCTACAGTTGTTACATTGCGACAGTTTTCCTTTGGTATGGCAGCTGTGTGAATTTTTATCCAGCAGTGTCATGGTTAATGAATCAGTTCAATAGATCGTCCTCAGGGCTATGATTACTCACAGTACTGGCAGAATGGTTACACCACACAGGAGATCATTTAGCCCCTCATTTCTATGCTAGTTCTCACAAGGAGTAATACTCCCCTGACCATTTCCCCTCCTTTTCAGACAATAATCCAACTCCCCCTTGAATCCCTCTTGATTGAACCTGCCTCCAAAACTCTCTCAGACAGAGCATTCTAGATCTGAGCTACCACAAGGTGCGTCTTGTGTTATCAATTAGAGTCAGAGCGTTGTAGAGATGTACAGCGTGGAAATAGACCCTTCGGTCCAACTCAACAATGCTGACCAGATATCCTAAATTAATCTAGTCCCTCCTGCCAGCATTTGGCCCATTTCCCTATTCATATACCCATCCAGATGCCTTTTAAATGTTGTAATTGTACCAGCCTCCACCACTTCCTCTAGCACGTTATTCCATACACACACCATCTTCTGCATGAAAACGTTGTCCCTTAGGTCCCGTTTAAATCTTTCTTCTCTCACCTTAAACCTTTAGTTTTGGACTCCCCTACCCTGGGGAAAAGACCTTGGCTATTCACCCTATCCATGCCCCTCCTGATTTTATAAACTTGTATAAAGGTCACCCCTCAGCCTCCAACGCTCCAGGGAAAATAGCCCCAGCCTATTCAACCTTTCCCTCTAGCTCAAACCCTCCAACCCTGGCAACATCCTTGTAAATCTTTTCTGAACCCTTTCAAGTTCCACAACATCTTTCCTATAGCAGAGAGGCCAGAATTGAATGCAGTATTCCAAAAGTGGCCTCGCTAATGTCCTGTACAGCCGCAACATGACCCTCCCAACTTCTATACTTAATGCACTGTCCAATAAAGGCAAGCATACCAAATGCCTTCCTCACTATCCCAACTACCTGTGACTCCACTTTCAAGGAGCTATGAACCTGTACCCCAAGGTCTCTTTGTTCGGCAACATTTCCCAGGGCCCTACATAAGTGTATAAGTCTTGTTGTGATTCGCCTTTCAAAATGCAGCACCTTCCATTTATGTAAATTAAACTCCATCTGCCACTCCTTGGCCCATCGGCCCATCTGATCAAGATCCCATTGTACTCTGAGATAAACTTCTTTGCTGTCCACTACACCTCCAATTTTGACATCATCAATTCATTTGCTTATGCAAATTATCTGAAATCTGTGTCCGTCCCCACCCCAACTTCCTGGTTCTCAGTTCATTTGTGAGTAGGAACTGTTTTCCTCTACTCTGTCCCGATCCCTTGACCTTGATGCATCTTATCAAATCTCCTCATAACCTTCTCTTCTGTAATGACAACAACTCCATCAATCTATCCATATAACTGATGTTCCTGAAACCTCTCTCCTGAATCTTTCCTCTATTATGATGAAAGGTATGTGATTTCTATACATTCATGTAAATTTTGTTTAGAGTTTTAATTTCAAACTAGTGGCATATGGTGCTTGTTAATTTTTTTGATGGGGGTTTAAAAATTACCTAGGTCATTCTTTCCAGATCCATGATTTTAGACCAGTATGGCCTCCTGGAGTGTTAATGGAAGTTTATTTTATTTGGGTTTATGGCAGAAGAGAGGAAAACATTAGCTGACTTTTGAGTTTACATTAAGCAAGGATTGATTTTAATGTAGAAAAGTACTGAGGTTGGACAGTATTGGGGTAGTTTGAAGGAGACCTGAACTGAAGTTAGATGCAAGTATAGTTTTTTCCGCAGGGAAAGGAGATTGTTCAGATCAGTTAAGGAAGCAAGTTACCTAAGTGAAAAAGAGTTTAGTTTGTGAAACTTTACGATCAGGAGTGTTTGAAGAGAAACATGCATTGGTTATTCAAATTTGATGAAGACTAAGCTCTCGGTTGTGTGAGTGATCAAAAAGCTTTGTAGCACACAGGACCAGAAATGAGAAGAAGGACTTAAGTGAAATTTGCCGATTTAATGGAAATAATTTTTTTCTGGGTTTTAACTAATAGTAGTGTAACAGCATTGGGAAGTAGATGGGGATTTGTTTTGCTATGTGTTTCAACATTTTTCAAGTTATGTTACGCGTAGATAGCTTGATTTATTTATTTTATTTTTCTTTCTTTTTGCGTAAAAAAAAAGGTTTTATCATTTGAACCAAATTTGCAGGCTTGTCTGTTTATGTTTCAGTGAATTACTGCCACATTTAAAAGAAAAATCTATCAAGCTAAGTTTCATTCTGGGATCTTACCTGTCCAGTAGTAACATCAGTTGGTGTCATAACAGCAACCTCTCCAATGTTCTATAAAAGTTTACCATAACCTTCATGCTTTTGCAAACTATGATCCTGTTCATAAACACCAGAATGGCAAATGCTTTATTAACATATCAATTTGTCAAGCTGTTTTCGATGATTTATACACATACACACCCACACGATGTCTCTCCATTTTCTTTCTACTAACATCGATCATTTCATCTTTCTCCCCATTAAGTTTCATCATTTGTCTGCCCATTCCACCAAATTGTCCTTGTCCTTTTGAGGTGCTATACTGTTCTGCTCAGTTTATATGCTTCTAAGTTTTGTTTTAATCACAAGTTTTGAAATTCTAACCTGATCACTGAATTCCAGGTCATTAATATTAATTTATCAGAAAGAGTAGGGTCTTAAATACCACACCTGGGGAATTGCAGTACAAACCTCCTCCAGTTCAAAATTCAAATATTAACTATTGCTTTGTTTCCTGTTACTCCGGCAATTTCTGATCCTTGTTGTCACTGTCTCTTTTATTTTGTGAGCACTAGCTTTGTTCACAAGTCTGCAATGTGGCACTGTTATGTGGCACTCTTTGGTAAGTCCAAATACACCATATCCTTCGCATTACCCTCTCAAATAGGTTAATTGAACATGATTTGTCCTTAACAAATCCATTCTGGATGTCCTTAATGAAACCATATTTCAAGTGACCTTTAGTGTGGTCCCGAATTAATATTTCTGGGAAGCTTCTCCACTGATGGGCCTGCAGTTTCTCAACTCCTACTTATACTTCTTTTTGAACAAGGGTGCAACATGCATGATTTTTCAGTCCTGTATGATCAACCTAAGTCAATGGATGACCAAAGAATTATAGCCGGTACTTCTGCAATTACCTTTCTCACTTCCCTCAGTATCACTGGACACATCTCACCCAGTATTGGCGTCTGATCATCTTCAGATGCAGACAGGCTCTCATCAGGCCTGTCAATTTTAATCATCCGGAGAAATGTCATATTAGACTCCAAATGTTAACTCTATTTCTGTCTCTACAGATGATGCCAGACTTGCTGAGTGCCTCCATGTATTTCTGTTTTTATTTTGGATCTCCAGCATCTACAGTATATTGCTTTAATTCCTATATTCAGTACAGTTGAATGAACTACCTGATATCTGTCAAGAGCATTCTTTTTCATTTCCATTTTAATCCTGCCAGTTTTTCTCACCTGGATCTCTGGATCTGTTTGCTTTCCAATGCTCCTTCCAGGGAATTTACCTTGGCTATACCTGAAGTCTTGTTTCTTTGAAAGTAGCAGTTTATTTAGCTACGTGTTTGCTGCCAACCTTTGATACAATCTACCTAGGCTGGATCCATTCTTAAAGTTGGCTTTCCCCTCAGTTTATTCTTCCGGGCAGTTTTTCTCTGTCCTTTTAGAAACTTTGCAATATTATGATCACTGTTTCCTAAATGCTCCCCCACTTCATTCCCAAGAATCAGTATCTCCTTTCTTGTTAAGTTGGAGACATGCAGTCTAGGAACTCCATCCCTTCTCTCCCTTTATTCTACTTCTATCCTGGTCTACATGCAAATAATTAAATTCTCCCCATTCTATGCACCTCTCTGAAATTTATTTGCAAATTTATTCCTCTGTATATTTCTCACTAGTTAGTAGGTTATAGACTGCAGTAGGCATTATGACTGCACCTTTCTTGTTTCTTAACCATAACCTTACTGATTCTGTCCTTGACCTTTCTGAGACATTCCCTCTCTCTCTCAGCAGCATAGTTAACACCCCGTCCGCCTCTTCTTTGAGTTGGGTCTTTATTATAGCTACAGTTTCATATTTACACCTGGCAACCTGGGCCTGTAACTCACCATTCTTATTGACCGAGATGTTCCAAAATGACAGAGATGAAGAGAATGTCTTCTCTGAGAGGGGAGTGAAACTTTGGAATTCTTTACCACAAAGGATTGTTGAAGGTGGACTGTTCAGTTTATTTAAGGCTGAGATAGGCAAATTTTTAATCAGGAAGGGAATCAAGAGCTTTGGGAAATTGTCAGGAAAACAGAGCTGAGAATTATCAGAGCCGTGATCTCATTGCCTGACATAGCAGATGGGCTGAATGGCCTACTTCTGCTCCTACATCTTGTCGTCTCATCACATTCTGTACATCCACATCCATGCACAGTGATTTCATTACATTCTGTCATATGCAGAACCCACCTGATAATTTGCTATTCCCAACCGTAGGCTTATGTATCTCGCCCAGTATTCTGTGTATGTAGTATCTCTATTATTACCTCCTGGTTGCCACATCCTTGTCAAGTGAGTTTAAACCCTCCATAATTAGTTAAAAAGATTATTCCCTTGTTGGTACAGTGATTAGGAAATTGGTTGAATAAAATATTCTGAGTTCAGTGATTGGCCTATTTCCCATGTTTCAATGTTTACCTTGTTCCTGTGTTGTGTTAAGTCACAGCAAGTGATCCAATGAACACTGCTGAGGCCAGACAGTTGAGGATGGGGTTCCCAGGGTCTGAGAGTCTCAGTCCCAAAGGAAGAGTTTCTTGTGTTCCTTGTGGTTTGCCCTTTTAATCAGGATTAATGACGTTCTCTGATTTTCAGGTGAAGGAAGACTGGAAGTACGTTGGCATGGTGATTGACCGTATCTTCCTGTGGATATTTATTTTAATTTGCATACTGGGAACGTTGGGTCTCTTCCTGCCTCCTTGGATGGCGGGAATGCTGTGAAATTGAAGGACATCAACAAACACAAGGCAAGAAAGACCTCTTCGATGAGAGTGATGGGACTGTTATTTTGATCTCCATCTCCACCCCTCGATAAGAGTTGTCTGGGCAAGAAAAATATCATTTTACTCTTCTGTAGATATTAGGCATCACAGCTGTTATATTGCAACTGTTAAAACATGTACAAGCAGAACCGAGAGATTAAAACTATGAGGGCTTTCTTTAGAAAGTCAGCAGTCACACGACCTAGGTTATAGTTCAACAGGTTTATTTGAAATCACAAGTTTTTGGAGTGCAGCCCCTTTTTCAGGTGAAGTCACTGTAACCTGGTGTTGTGAGATTTCTGACCTTGTCCACCCCAGTCCAACACCAGCACCTCCACTTCTTTAGAAAGGAGAAGGCCAAAAGGAGCAATCTTTAAGATGATGAAAAGACTCAATGGGTTAGATATGGAAAAGGTGTCTCCACTCATGGGCAGGACCAGGAATAAGACCCACAATAGAATATTCTCTCCAATAAATCCAATTAGAATTCAGGAGAAACTTCTTTACTAAGAGTCATGGAAATGTGGAACTCAACACCACCGTGAGTAGTTGAGGTGGTCTAGCAGATATATTGAATAAATACATGGGGAGAAAATAAAGGGATTAGAACATATATTGATAGGGTGTGATACTGAGGAGGCTCATCTATAAACACAGGCATGGATCAGTTGGGCTGACTGACCTTAGTGCTGCAAAATCTATGAAAACCACAACAACAAAGAACAAATAATCCACTTCTGAACTAAATACATAGAAACATAGAAAATAGGGGCAGGAGAAGGCCATTCAGCCCTTTGAACCTGCTCTGCCATTCAATATAATCATGGCTGATCATCCAACTCAATCTCCTGTTCCTGCTTTCTCCTCAGACCATTTGATCCCGTTAGACCTAAGAACTATATCTAACTCCTTCTTGGAAATACTCAATGTTTTAGCCTCAACTGCTTTCTGGGGGAGAGAATTCCACAGGCTCCCCACTCTCTGGGTGAAGGCATTTCTCCTTAACTCTGTCCTACCCCATGTCCTAAGATTGTGGCCCTGTTTCTGGCCTCCCCATTAGGGAGGGGAATCAAAGGTAGTGGGGGGTAGATGGGAATGTGGAATTCAAAGCATAAACAGATCATCTGTGAATGGCAGAGCAGGATTGAGGGGCAGAATGGCCTACTTCTGCTCCCATTTTATATATTCACCTGCATGTTTAAGACTTAGTAGCTAGTTATGTACATCTGAGTCGCATAATATTCCTTGTCCAACCTCAGGCTTGATGGGCCGAATGGCATCTTTCGCACTGTGGGGATTCTATGATTCCAAGATTCTAGACTTACGAGTAATAATGCATTACAATTAGCAGCATAATATGATAAAACAAAGAACTGCGGATGCTGGAGATCTGAGACAAAAACAAAGTACTGGAGAAACTCAGCAGGGCCGGCAGCAGCTGTGGAGAGAAACAGAGTCAATGGCTTGAGTCCAGTGACCCTTCTTTAGAGCTGACATAGACTTAGCGTGCAACAATTGGTTAGCTCCTCCCAGCATCAGTCCATGTTAACCTGATGTGCGGAGCTTGTCTTGTAATGACAGTTATTCTTTTTCAAGCGCTAATAGTTTTCGATAACAGAGGGGTGCTGAGGGAGGCTCGAGTGCAGGGAGTTACAGTGTGACATACAGACTGAACAGTTTGCATCATCACAGCAGTTTACAATCACAACCTTGCTGTTTTTCAGCTTCTTAGCAATGTCCCCACCAGATGTTGTCACTGCCAGTTATGTTTGTGAATAAAAGTCATTGCTTTTCACTGTACCCCAGCAGACTCGGTCGATGTTATTTGGCAACACAACAAAACTAAGAATAGTCTGGGACCACAAGAACTGACGATAATGGAGAAAGATGAGCAGCGGGGAAGGTTTGGGAAAGCGAAATTGCAGGTTGGGATGTAACCAGGCTGGGAGAACAGGAGTGATTGGGTGAATGGGATGAGAGGAAGTGGGATGGGCAGCAGAGATTAGGTGAAACTACAGAGGGTAGGTGTCTCAGCAGAGAGCCATTGGAAAATCCAGCTGATGCAGAATAACCATGGTTGAGGGTTTTGGCAACAGATGGACCACGGTGGGTGGAGGACATTGATGTCCATGAAGTACCCTTGATTTCCCTTACTGATTAAAAATCTGTCTATCTCAGCCTTGAATATTTGAACTGGGTGATTCCTTTGGGCTATTTCAGAGGCTAGTCAACTCAACCACATCGCTGTGTGTCTGGAGTCACATGTAGGCCAGACCAGGAAAGAAAGGCAGATTTCCTTGCCGAAGGATATTAATGAACCATGTGGGGTTTTAACAATCAATGATATTTTCACGGTCACCATCACTGAGATTAGCTTTCAAATCTAGGTTTATTCATTGAATATTAATCCCACCAACTATCTCGAAGGGAATTGAACACTCTCTGAGGATTAGCCTGGGCCTTTGTGTTACTTAAGGGGAGGCGATGGCCTAGTGGTATTATTGCTAGATTATTAATCCAGAAACCCAGCTGATGTTCTGGGGACCCGGGTTTGAATCCAAACACAGCAGATGGTGGAATTGGAATTCCGAAAAAAAAAAGCCTGGAATTGAGAATCTACTGATCACCATGAAATCGTTGCTGATTGTCAGAAAAACCCATCTGGTTCACTAAGGTCCTTCAGGGGAGGAAATCTGCCACCCTCACCTGGTCTGGCCTACATGTGACTCCAGTCCCACAGCAATGTGGTTGACACTCAGTTGCTCTCTGAAATGGCTGAGCAAGACTCTCAGTTGTACCAATTGCTACAAAGACTCAAAGAAATGAAACTGGACAGATCACCTGGCATCAACCTGGGCACTGGAAAAGACAACGGCAGAAACAGCCCTGTCGACCCTGCACAGTCCCCCTCATTAATATCGGGGTGTTAGTGCCCATATTGGGAGAGCTGTCTCACAGACTAGTCAAGTAACGGCCCGACATAGTCATACTCACAGAATCATACCTTACAGACAATGTCCCAGACACCACCATCACCGTCCCTGGGTATGTCCTGTCCCACCGGCAGGACTGACCCAGCTGAGGGGTCGGCACAGTGGGATATAGTCGGGAGGGAGTTGCTCTGGGAGTCCTCAACATTGAATCCGGACCCCATGAAGTCTCATGGCTTCAGGTTAAACATGGGCAAGGAAACCTCCTGCTGATTACCACATACCGTACCCCCTCAGCTGATGAATCAGTCTCTCCTCAATGTTGAACAACACTTAGAGGAAGCACTGAGGATGGCAAGGGCACAAAATGTACTCTGGGTGGGGGATTTCAATGCCCACCACCAAGAGTGGCTCAGCAGCAGTATTACTGATCGAGCTGGTCGGGCCCTAAAGGACATAGCTGCTAGACTGGGTCTGCGGCAGGTGGTGAGGGAACCAACAAGAGGGAAAAACATACCTGACCTCATCCTTACTAATCTGCCAGCTGCAGTTGTATCTGTCCATGACAGTATCGGCAAGAGTGACCATCGCACAATCCTTGTGGAGACAAAGTCCCGCCTTCACATTGAGAACAACCTCCATCATATTGTGTGGCACTATCACCGTGCTAAATGGGACAGACTTCGCACTGATCTAGCAACTGAAGACTGGGCATCCACGAGGCGCTGTGGGCCATCAACAGCAGCAGGATTGTATTCCAGCACAATCTGTAACCTCATGGCCCGGCATATCCCCCACTCAACCATTACCATCAAGCCAGGGGGTCAACCCTGGTTCAATGGACAGTGCAGGAGGGCATGCCAGGAGCAGCACCAGGCATACCTGAAGATGGGGTATCAACCTGGTGAAGCCACCAAACAGGACTACTTACACGCCAAACAGCGAAAGCAGCAAGTGATAGACAGAGATAAGTGATCCCACAACCAATGGATCAGATCTAAGCTCCGCAGTCCTGCCACATCCAGTTGTGAATGGTGGTGGACAATTAAACAACTCACTGGAGGAGGAGGCTCCACAAATATCCCCATCCTCAATGATGGAAGAGCCCAGCACATCAGTGCAAAAGATAAGGCTGAAGCATTCGCAGCAATCTTCAGCCAGGAGTGCCGAGTGGATGATCCATCTCGGCCTCCTCCAGTGGTCCCCAGCATTACAGATACCAGTCTTCAGCCAGTTCGATTCACTCCACATGATATCAAGAAACAGTTGGAGACACTGGATACTGCAAAGGCTGTGGGCCCTGACAACATTCCGGCAATAGCACTGAAGACTTGTGCTCCAGAACTTGCTGCTCCCCTAGCCAAGCTGTTCCAGTACAGTTACAACACTGGTATCTACCCGACAATGTGAAAAATTGCCCAGGTATGTCCTGTACATAAAAAGCAGGACAAATCCAACCCGGCCAATTACTGCCCCATCAGTCTCCTCTCGATCATCAGTAAAGTGATGGAAGGTGTCAGTAACAGTGCTATCAAGCAGCACCTGCTCAGCAATAACCTGCTCAGTGACGCCCAGTTTGGGTTCTGCCAGGGCCACTCAGCTCCTGACCTCATTACAGCCTCAGTTCAAACATGGACAAAAGAGCTGAATTCCAGAGGTGAGGTGAGAGTGACAGCCCTTGACATCAAAGCTGCATTCGACCAAGTGTGACATCCAGGAGCCCGAGCAAAACTGGGATCAATGGGTATCAGGGGACAAACGCTCCGCTTGTTGGAGACATACCTGACACATAGGAAGATGGTTGTGGTTGTGGGAGTTCAGTCATCTTAGCTCCACGACATCTCTGCAAGAGTTCCTCAGGGTAGTGTCCTAGGCCCAACCATCTTCAACTGCTTCATCAATGACCTTCCCTCCATCATAAGGTCAGAAGTGGGGATGTTCGCCGATGATTGCACAATGTTCAGCACCATTCGTGACTCCTCAGATACTGAAGCAGTCCATGTTCAAATGCAACAAGATCTGGACAATATCCAGGCTTGGGCTGACAAGTGGCAAGTGACATTCACGCCACACAAATGCCAGGCTATGACCATTGCCAATAAGAGACAATCTAACCACCGTCCCTTGACATTCAATGGTGTTACCATCACTGAATCCTCACTATCAACATCCTGGGGGTTACCATTGACCAGAAACTCAACTGGACTCACCACATTAACACAGTGCCTACA